GATTTTAGTAGGATTTATATTTTCAAATTAAGGCCCCTAAATTTCAGCATCATCTGATTTCAGCATCATCCCCGACATTCAATAGTTAAATTATATATATAGACTATGTTCATTGCTAAAAACAAAAAAAAAATTTTTTAAAAAAACTAACTTTTTTGTTAGCAGTGGTCGAGGCTGTGCTGGTGGCAGTTGAACTACTGGCGGTAGTTCGTCTTTTGGTGCTGGTGTTTGGTCTGAACGATCAGCTGGAGTTGAAGGTTCTGGTGGAGGTAGAAGTTCTGGTAGAGGTATCGATAATTGCAATAATTGCTTTTCTGGTTAATGCTGTTTTATATCATTATATCATTAGATTATCATCCTAATATATGTAAAAATTTTAAAACTGTAGTAATATAAGTCAAACTGTGATTGATAATGGAATGCTTTATTGACTCTATTTTTAATAGCAACTCGCGATATCACTTTCAAAATGGGAATCCATCATTAACAACCCAAGTCGAATTAATAGAGATATTTTCATTAGTAATAAACAGCTTTCTCTAATAAGGAAAACACGTAACCAACTCTTCCTTTAGAGTTCGAAGTCTTTACTAAGAGACAACCTCTTTAGCATAACTTTGGTCGACTATGAAATCAACTATTACTAAGTGATCGAACCAGCGTGTACCTTCACGCGTAGGTACCCAACGAAGATAAATAAATTATGATCATTGTCTTTGAATGAACACCCTTGCTTGTAATAGCAACCAAGAGTATACACTCATGCCAAATGTACCTGACAAAAGCAACTCGAAGTGTCCATTTTCTATTGAAAAATATAACTACCTTGCCTCTTTTGCGTAATAACATGCTTGACATGATAAAGTTAAAAAATGTTGAAATGTTGAAAAAGTTGGAAAATTAGTTGTAAACAATACGTTGATAAAGTTGGAAAATTAGTTGTAAACAATACATTGGAAAAAGCAATATATATAATTGGCTATTCAAAATATGTGTAACAGAAACAGCACAAAAAAGGAAAAAAGGAATGTGTCCGGTTAGAATTACTTTTTTGATGCATTTATAGGCAGTAGTTTATAAAATTATCAAGAATACGATTTATGCAATATATGCAATATACGTCAAATATTGATTGTCGAGTTATTTCGCTAAAAGCACGCGATATTTGAAAAATCCTTCGATTTCACGTTATACAAAGGTTGCACCTGATCTTGCAGAAATCAGTGTACACGCTTTAGATCCCCAAAAAAGGAAATTGGCCAATCTAGGATTACGATCCGGCATAATATTGATATGCGATTTTTTCATGCAGCATGTAAACAAAAATTGATTGTTGGATTATGATCCGGCATAATATTGATAAACGATATTCGTGATTATGTGAACGGATTCGACAAAGACACTAAAATTGCTGATGCGCATAATTTGCGATTTTTTCATGCAGCATGTAAACAAAAATTGATTGGTTAAATGAATAAACCGGTGACTGACTTGTCGTTCTTTTTGAAATCGCATAATTCGCATAATAATAACGATAATTTGCAATTTACCGGATGCATAATTTTACCGGATCATAATCCTGGACACCCCACCATAGACCTGGGGAACTTTTTTATGTACCGTAAACAGAAGCGTTTTTTTTTTTTACAAATCCGTGTAACATGCAAATCAAAACAGTTTGAATAAACGAAAATTAAGCACTATCTAAGGTTAGGACAAGGGTGGGCTTGATCGAAATTTTGAGTTATAAACGATTTTTTAAAGAAGCAATAATTTGACTTTTTAAAAATCTCCCGTAGTACTATGAAATTGGCTTCTGTACACTAATTAAAAATGTCCTTCGTAGGATTTTACAATGTAGATATCACGAATACCATCTCTAGCCCCAATATTTCGTATTACACAAACTTGTATTAGACTTGATTGGATATATGTAATTTTCTGGATTTTGATGGACCAACTAATCTATCCGAAAAAAATTACAAGTTAGCAACTCGCATATCTCATTAAACCATTATCATTACTTCATTACTACTCGATCCCTCATATATTTATTCTTTAATTACTTAAATTCTATAATTAATTTGATTCATTAAACCATTATTATTACTCATTCGATCTCTCATATCTTAACCGTAAGGATGGCAATTGGTTTAATATATTTAAACCATCGTCACTAATATTGTTATCATGATTAATCATACTGTTAACTAGTACTCCGCAAAATCAAAAATTTGATCAAATATTTGATTCAAAATTTGATTTTGCGGAGTACTACTGTTAACCCCTGTAATTAGCATCATGTGATAAAATAACCATATGTAACACCAATGCAAGAGACGCTGCAATAGCGCTAGTACAGTCAGGTATTTTACGCGATATAGAAACGTTTTTTATTATCTAAAAATAACAATCAGTTTTAAAAAAACCTTCAAAATTTTCTTGCAATAGTTATTCTATGAATATGTAGTCTAGGGATCCCATAGAATTAAAAAAGAATTTTCCAATTGAAGATCTTTTACCAAAAAAAAAGAAATGATCTGCATTACACGAATTTGAAAAATCCCTGACTGTAGTAGCGATAGTAGCGCTAATAGCGCTAACACTTTCTATAAGATCTAGTGGTTCTAGCGAAATTGTAATTTATAAAAATAATAGCGGAAATCGGAAGTCCAAAAGTTATAAATAGTCTTAGATATTTCTCATGTAAAGAACAGAACTCGAAGTTCCAATAAATAAAGAGTAGTCGTGTCTTCATACACGAACAATTCGAATACTTTATTGAATAAAACCCTAAAGAGTAATCGTGTCTTCATACACAAATCGCTCGAATAAATCATAACCCTGTTATAGTGTCTCCATACACAAATAACTTGAAGTATAATAATAAACTTGTTAATACGACTACTTGTATCTTCATATACATTTAACCGTTTGCCTCTTTCGTAATAGCAAATCACATAATCCTCTTAAAGCGTAACCGCAATAAACCATATAATTTACTTAAGCATAAATCGGAACTTGATTATCAATCGTCTAACATATCCGTCGCTATAGTAAACCGTTATATCGGACTTATAAGAGGTAGTTCCGGGTGTAACACATACTGATACTTTAAATCAATTTTTATATTGCTTTAAAATGATTTCTAATATATTTAAACATCGTCACTGATATTGTTAACAGGCCTACCGAATTATTGATTTTGGGGGCAATTAATTGCAATATTTCGAACTCAATTAATTGAGCCATAATTGGTCAATTAATTGCAATTTTACGTAATTGCATTACATATATATCCGCCATTAATCACAGCAAATAAAT